ATGATGTCAAGACCTTGCCCCTTAATGTATTTTTCAGGGCTCAGATTGAAACTTTTGTATAGCGGTTTTTAGTTAATTTATCACAAGTTATCAACATGGTGTGCTTTTATATTTCAGCGCATGGTAAATCTAGTGAAACATCAGCAATCGCATAGTCATTAGGACCCCAAACAAGAAACTTGCACCTTGTTCTTCCTGAGCAAAACATTGCAATTTCCACCTGGGTATAGTAAATACTGGCTGCGGTTGTTGCTACCTGTGAAGCGTGGGTGAACATGGTTGCGAATCCATTTTGCGGGATCGGTGTTCAGTTTCTTTAGGACGCTTTGCAGCTGCACTACTTGTGATGCGTAGCTTTCTCTGAGATGTCCAAAGGGCAGAGTTTCAGTTTTTATTTATTTTTTCTACATGCAGCATTTATTATTAACATTCAAATGCCTAAATATTTTGAATAGTTATGAAATTGCTTGTGCTGCCATGTTATTTTACGAGTGTTCATCAGTGTAGTTACAATGATCTTCTTGGCGATCAATGCCCATCATTTTCTACAAAGAATGACTATCCACTAACCCTAGTAAGTCTCTACAACAAAAATTAAATAGTACCATATGAACAACAACCTACGATTCTGTACACCGACCGTGTTGGTAGGGGACTGCCCAGTTACTAACGAGAATAATCCTACGTCTGTTCTCCATTGATCGTTTTGGAAAACAGCTTAACTCTGTACGTGCAAGTAGCGATTTGGACACACACAAACGAAACAAAATCATGTTTTACAACAATTTCTACACAAAGTCTGAATTTCCAGCTTTGGCCAGTCTCTAGCCCTGAGTACAGTCCTATAGGTTGGCCTCCTTCCGTTGATCATTCGGCCCCACATGTTAGCCAGTCTCTAACATCGTCTTTCCAAATATCCAAGAAAATAATCGTTGGAAATACGTATTAAATATTTGTAGGTGAGTTTGTAGTGGTGACAATAGTACGAGTTCGCATGTAATTAATAAATATTATTATTTTTACGTAATTTGTTATGGGACGCCATCATGACTGTGAGTGGTATAAGCCCCCCAGTAATGGCGACGGCGTATGAGGCCGCACTTTCCAGAAGCGCTCGTCGGATTACTCTATAGAATATGACTGGAAGAGGCCTGCAAGCATATATAAAGTATAGAAACGCCGATGCATTTTTGAAGCTTTTTCAAAGTTTTTACTGCTAACAATTTTGAACGAATTTAACGATGGCGTATAAAAAAACGGCATTTGTGGTCAGATGGTAGCAATTCCAATACTTTTAGAGTAATTCAACAGATTACATTCAACCATTAGTTTGATAAACCTAAGACATAACATGTTTGCATCGATTTTGTTGAGAATAGAGATACATGACTTGTTTCTACGCAACCCGATAATGTTCCATTCTGTCTCTTCTGTAATTTGTGCTAAGGTTTATTATATAGCAAAATGAGTTAAATGCCATAAATTCTCTTGAAACTTACTGTCAGAAATGGAAACTCAATATTAATATCTCTAAGTCACAAATCATCATGTTTAGTAGGTCAAAAAAATCACAGGACAAATTAAAATTCTATGTTGATGGAAAGGAACTTGAAAATACAAGAACCTACACATACCTCGGCATTAAACTACACAAATCAGGTAAATTCATCGGAGCACAAGAAGACCTCAGAGCTAGAGCAATGAAGGCATGTTTCAAAATGAAACAAATGCTATTCTCAGAAAAACTAATTCCAATAAAAACATACTTAAAAATGTTCGATGCAATTGTAAAACCAATTATGCTTTACTGCAGTGAAATTTGGACGAGCGAGAACATCAACAAATCGCAT